GCAGAGGGCGCCGCCACAGGGACTAGGAGAGCAGCAGGTGCACGTGGCCGGGAGGGCGTGAGCACGGGAAGGGCTCCTGTTCACTCCCAGCGATGATCACACCCAAAATGTCAATCACCTGACCACGTGACTAACTGTCCAGAGGCAATGAGGGGGCCAGCAGAGAGTGGAGATGCCCGAAGCAATGAGCCCGACAGCCTGCTGGGCCTCCTGGGACCACACCTTCTGCTGAGTTTAAATTCAGTCTCTGCTCCGTGTCCGGCATCGGGAACATGAACCCGGTGCCCACACCAGGCCTCTTGTTTGCAGGCGCTGGACTTCCTACCTCAACCGTCCTCACCCCGTTTCTGCAAACTCCCGTCCATCCTCAAGCCCACCTCCCCGCCACTGCCTTCCCCACCCACGCCCGTTCCCACACACCCCCGGCAGCACCAACCCATCCGCTCACCCCGTCCCCATACCCTCTCCTAAAGCGGCACTGGTGTAGATAAATATTTGCTGAATTAGTGTGAGTGTGCCCTGATCAAACTGACCCCCGAACACGGACATTTCAACCCTTGAATATGCCACCTCCCCCATTCTGTTCTCTTTGAGCCCCACATGGGGTCATGTTTGGGGAAAATAAATATCTTCTTGGCTTCAACCTTGTGCTCTGTCCTATTTGTCCTATTGTCATTGCTCAAACACTATCACTTTAGTCTTGATAATACTTGAGCCCAGATAACGGGATGGGTACCCAGGGTTTTATTATCTACGTTTGTAAACCATTTAAAATGTCATCACAAAGAGCATTTTTAACTACCATGTTTGAGGTGATTTGGAACCCCCTTGATCAAGTCCCTCACTTGGTTGGGATTCATTCCTGGTAAACAGGACAGGTTTCTGACCGAAAGAATAAGATTTAAAGGCCGACAGGCCTCCATTCAAACCTGCCCATGTGTTACTGGCGGTGCCACCTTGAACACATTCCCTGCCCTCTCTGGATATCCATTATTTTGACTTGACACTGGGGATGATAACCATGGTGCCCGCCTTGTAAGATGGAATGAGAGAATGAATGGACAGTGCTGGCACGGTGCCAGGGAGCTGGTTCCTGGGACTCCATAGGTCAGTGGTTCTCAACCTTCCTAATGCCGCAACCCTTTAATACAGTTCCTCATGTTGTGGTGACCCCCAATTTTCATTGTTACAAATTGAACATAATTAAAGCATAGTGATTAATCACAAAACAATATGTAATTATATATGTGTTTTCCAATGGTCTTAGGCAACCCCTGTGAAAGGGTCGTTCGACCCCCAAATGGGTTGCAACCCACAGGTTGAGAACCGCTGCCATAGAGCATCACCTGGAAAAAACAGTTTCTTTCTCCAAACATTTTACTTTTAAAACGTTCTTTGGTGACAATCCATTTTCTCTCTGTCTCACTCTCAGCTCCATAAAACACGGGACAGTATGACTAATCTCTAGCATTCGGCACGTGGCTGAACCATAGGACGTGCTCACAACCCGTTGCTGACTGCAAAGGGTATCCATGACCTACATAAACACGCACAGTGTGTGTGTGTGCAGATGTGTGTGCACATGTGTGTGCACAATAGCCATGTCCCACCCCAGGGAACGCAGGCCTCACAGACCACGTGGCAACACTAGTGAGAGCCTCGCAGACCTGCCACGTGCACCCACCACCCAGAGACAAACGTCACCGGGATGGCGGCTCGGCGCTCCCTGCCCTGACCTGGTCATTCCTTCATGCATCCGACCAAGGTTTCAATCATGAGATGCTTTCACTCTCCATCCACTCACAGTCTAGGGAGAAGGATGTAGGGGCCTGACCATGAAAGGCCTGCCACACACGTCATGTTCTCTTCCTGAAAGGGGTTGGGAGTCGTCAGAAAATGTTACGCAAGGGCCTACCACGGTCACGTTCGCACTTTATAAATAACACTCCCACGTTCTGATAGCAAAGAGAACAGAGGTGTGGGACACCTACCAGGGGAACCTATCAGGCTTATTTCGCCCAGAAAGGATCTCATGTCTAGTACTGTCAAGCCAAAAAAAATCTTAAAAATCATTTCTCTGAATCCCCTTTATTGTTGAGATGAAAGAAAAAAAAAACACCTTATTTTCAAGGAGTGTGGCTTATCCAAGTCATTTATCTTTTAGAAGAAAATTTAGATTAAATTTAAAATTTACAACCCAGTCCTCCGAGGACCCCCCAGCACCTGCCCCTTTGCCGGGAGGTGGGCTCCCTTCCCGGGACCCAGCTCAGGGCGGCGCCTTTGCCGCGGCTGGACACGCTGACCGGGTTGGGGAGCTGGGAGAGCATCTAGTGTCTGAGCATGAGAAAAAACGGAACTGGTTTTATCCATTTTCTCATAGTGATTAAACAGTTAAACCCTTTTAAATCAGAGATTATTCTGGAGCCTCTAATACTATGTAAATTACAACTCCCAAATCTTGAATGATGTAACAGACTCAAGACCAAATGCTGCTTTTTAAAAAAAATGCTACACATCACATGCAAGTTACTTAACAGGACCAAAGGCCACATGGCTAGACGGGCCGGTAATGACCTGCAGAGGGGTTCTCGGGCTGGGACGCTCCCCATCCCCTCGGTCCTCCACAGGCTGATAGGGAAACCCCAAAGAAGCCCACAGAGCGCCTCTCAGCTGCGTGAGATGCAGTCTCCGCATCACGGGGCCGTTCCCCCAGAGACCACAGGCGCCTGATGGAGCGGCAGCAGGTCCCAGTTTCCCTGGCCCAGACCGGGCCGGCCAGCCACTCGATCCCTGAAACAAATCCCGCAAGGCACCTAGGTTTCAGATGAACACACTGTGGACAGATTCGGTTCATCGATGTCGAGCGGTACATTCAGGCAGCTGTCTTAACCACCCAGATATCAGAAGCCACTCGCTTTGGAGCACCAGGTAACTGCAGCCAAAGAAAACGGCCGGCGTCTGGGAGAATCCCAAGCCACCTGTTCTCCCCGAGTCAGTGCATTTTCTGCAAGCAAGCGTGCTCGAAGCCGGGTGCAGAGCAGCTCCCTTCTTACTACAGCAATCGTGTCATCAACCCCTTCCAAGCCCAGATCCTGCCGGGTCAGCAAGCCCCATGCTCGGCGCCCTCACGGACCCTCACAGGAGCCCGCACGTCTATCTCCATTTCACAGACGGGCACACAGGCTCAGAGACGCACAGACAGCCGTGGACGCTCACAGCCTGAAAGAGTAGCTGCAGTGAGGACCCATGGCCGCCAGAGCAATGCCTGTGCGGCCTGCATCCCAGGCCCGGTGTGTGAACGGGCTGGCGCCATGCTGGGGTGCCTCAGGATGCAGCCCCCAGGGAGGGACCCTTCCCAGAGTCCCTGGACTGGGTACTGGCCGCCTTTTTGAAGAGACCCCTCATTGGCACATTAATCCAGAGGCTTTGCTCCTATTCGGTGGATTTGGACGACTGAGCCTCAGACACTGACTTGCCCAGGTCCCAGGGGAAAGCAGAGCCATCCTATATAACAAAAGCCTAATATGCAAATTGTCCCCTCTACCGGGAGTTCGACCAGGGGGCAGGGCTGGCTGGCCAACCGCCCGCAGCCTCTCCCCCTGGCCAGCCCTGCCCTGGCTGGTGGCAGTAGGCGGCCGGTGGAAAGGAGGCCCTGGCCGGCAGCCACTAGGGACCCTACTTGTGCACTGGGCCTCTAGTTCCTAAATAAACTCCAAATCCACGGCCGGAGCCCCTTCCTAAAGGCCTCCCACCATTCCCTCACCGAGGGCTCTGAGCTACGGGACCAGGAGGGGGCTCCTCGGTCCAGAGGGGAAGAGCCCCTCTGTTAAAAGGACTCTGCCTTGCGAGGTGCTGCACAGCTATGCACTGTGTGCAGCTCGTCCCTGTAGCAGGAATGAAACACAAGTCGTTGTCGCACTGCGTTCATGGTGGTGAGTGACATTCTCTGACAGCCTTTCAGCGAAACGAGCATTTCATAACAGGCCCTTATCGATCCAACATGCCAGGAGCCCACGGCAGTCTTGTCCACAGTACACTGGATGGTATAACTGTGTAACATCATCTCTGGATACATCTTTAATTTCCACTCTGTGCCAACACAATAAAGGGGGAAGGCTTTTGTGCCCCGTGTCATTGGCTGGACAGTGACAGCCCTGAACATTGGAGCTGGTGGTGCTGGACTTCCAATAAAAAAAAAAATTAAACTTCAGAGGAGGAAGATACGCAGGAAGTTCTGAGGCAGAGAGAAAAGGCCTCACGCGTTACGGGCGTTCGTTCTAGACATGTTCATTACATGCCAAAGCCTGGGGATGGCACATATGGAATTTAAAAGACGCCATCTGCCGTGCGAGGTTCCAAATTATAAACTTAACCCTTCAGCTCCGCAGCACCTGCTGCTCCGGAGTTCTCCTCTTCAGGATGAAAAGAAGGGGGAGGGACTACACATTAACTAAACAGGTTGGGCAGGATGGAGGGGGTGCTCAGGAAGACATTTGCTAAGCCCAGCATTACAACCGGTACATTTTCTCCAGGAAAAAAAAAACAAAAAAACCCTCCTGTTCTATTTATTCTTAAAACAAACACTACACACTGTGGCTATCATCAGTAAGAATCCAAACCAAGCCGACAGCAGCCACAGCCTTCTCTGTGATGTTTCCATCGTCTAAAGTCCCTGGGCACTTTGAAAGCAAAAGCAGAGGTTTTTAGGAATCGTTCAAATCTGTGAAATGAAAAGTAGAGTAATTCCTCTAATAAGGAAGGGTTTCTTTAAAAAAAGAAAAAGAAAAAGAAAAGAAAAGTCCTTAAGGCAGAAGGAAACAAGAGTATGTAGCCCGAATCAAAGACATCTCCTGCTTAAATGATGACAGGCCACCGTGACATGCATTAAAAAGAAGAAAAGTGACAGAGCCTTGAAAATGCCCTCATTTCCTTACTCGCGGGGCTGACATGTTTTTGTCTCTAAAGCACATTTAACAAATGCAACACGGCTCATTCGGGGCTGATGTGAGTTCACAAAATAGTTTTATTAGATGTAAGAAAGCATACAGCAGTCCAGGTAGGAAACATCCACAATGCACACGCCACACGGACCTGCCGCGGGAGGTCACGGCCAGCAGCGTGCTCCCCGCTCCCCGCTTCATCTGCACGGCAAGTCCACGGCTTACCCGCCAGGAAACGCTGTCAACGCTGCACAGAAATTCCCTCAACATGCCCCGCGTGGATCAGCATCTCGCGAGGGTGACCAGGAGGTGTCTTACAGTCCTGCTGGTGACAGAGGAGCGTGACCCAGAGCGCGGAGGGAGGGCTCGCGTTTGTCAAAAGAGATACTGGCGGCTCTGGGATGCTTGACACGCCCAGAGAGCAGGGTCTCCTGTTTTTTTCCAAAAGAAGTGTCTTACCGGAGAGTGATCATGAGGCACTAGTTGTTAGGATACCATTAACATTTAGACTTTTAAAAAAGCGATTCTAAATGCAGATGAAAGCACTACAGAAGCAGCCGTGGTCTGTCCTGGTGAGAGGAGGGGCGGGACGCGCCCTCTGTCCACGGGGGCGGCTGCCGGGCGCGGGAGCGAGGAGACCCGCCGTCCGCACGGCACACGGAGCCAGGACAGCCCCTGTCTGGCTCAGAAAAGCTCTCTGACACGTGGGCTGAGAGAAGACATGAGAGGGCCGGTTATTTTACAGAAGTAGAAAGTGGCATGTGCTCTGTACTACCACTAAGATGACACAGTTCGAGCTGGCTTCTTACGCTGGCTTTTGAAAAGGTATTTACAGAACTGCAGGTCTCGGTCGCTTAAAAGGTTCTGAAAACAGTGGTAGCTACGCTTTCTGAAGTTTCTCACAATGTCTAGGGGGACAAACGTTCCCAGCATCTGTCAGCTCTCACCTCGTCTTTACTATGCCCGTGGGTTTTACGGAATCAGCACAGGCTCCCTCCTATCGGTCTTGGCTGTGCTGCTGGGAGTGACACACGGGCACTGAGGATCTCAGAGAGTCCGCGTGCTTGTTCCCTTGGCTTATAAAGTGCTAGTTAAGGGGACAAAAATGTGACTGGAAGGTCTCAGATAACTCATTCGTGTGTCCTGTTAAATATGATAAATATAGATTTATTATAATAAGTTAAAAATATCCATATAGTACAATAAATAAATAAAAGCAATATACACAAAGCATCTCTCAGTTCTGAAAAAACAACAACAACAACAAAAACAACAATCGCAGTCGCACTCTAAGGCTCAATTATTTTGGAGGAATCATTGAGGAAGGCGGGCACCTACCTTCATGCTAGGAGAGCTGTGCTCCGACCACCGTTAGCACCTGTTAGCACACGGCCCACTCAACCCTCCTCACTGCCTTCCCAGAAAGGTTTAATTGTTAAGTGAAGCAGCTCACCGTGGATTCTTTGCCTTATTTTTGAGTCCTAAGATAAAGAATCCGTTTCTAAAAATAAGTTTGGAGCCAAAGACACGTCCCTTGTGAGCCCTCGCCTCAACATGTGTGGCTCTTTGATTCACCGGGAAGAACACAGAAAACACACCGGGATGTATGTTTAAATAGAGTTAGTTGTGTTGGAAGAAAAGCAGCAGAGGAAGGCTCGCCTGACACCCCGAGTCTCACCACCCCTTCGCTATTCACAGCAAGCCCCAGAGACCCCCTCTCGCTTTGGGGGTGAGCATGGCTGGCAGGAGTCCCCTCGGAGTTCAGGTTGGGTGCTGTCCATTTTGTGTGATGGGCTGGATCTTTCCTAGGGAGACATCCGTGTCATAGTCCAAGATGACAGACAGGGCCGGGGACAGCCGCTCCGGGGGCTTGGCTGTTCCGCCTGCCTCCTCCTTCTTCGGGTCCTCGGAGGAGCCCACGGCATGTGGGATCAGGTACACCAGGTGGCAGTCCTTGGAGATGGAGCCTCGCGGCTCGTGATGGCTGGAGAAGACCGCGCCCCCGTTGTTGTTGATGCTCACCGTCTCTATGGCATTATTGGTCGCAGGGCAGAGTCTGTAGCATCCCAGGAGGGTCGAAAATGCCTTCCGGAAATCGGCATTAAAGGCGTAAATGATGGGGTTCAAGGAGGAATTAGCCCACCCAAACCACACGAACACGTCGAAGGTGATGGCGTCGATGCAGAAGGGCTGGGTCTCCCCGGTCCCGCAGAAGGGCGCCATGCAGTTCAGGATGAAGAAGGGCAGCCAGCAGCACACAAACACCCCCATAATCACCGACAGCGTCTTCAGAACCTTTGTCTCCCTCTTGAAGGACATCTTGAAGGAGCTCTCGGGCTGCGCACACTCCACGGGCTTCCCGTTGCCCGTCGTGGTCTGGCAGTTCTTGGCGTGGACCGCCGCCCTCTCCAAGGCCGAGATGCGCCGGATTTGCTTCTGGGCGATCCTGTAGATCCTGGTGTAGGTGACAATCATGATGGCCACAGGGATGTAGAAGCTTATCAGGGAGGAGGAAATGGCATAGGTCCTGCTCAGGCTGGAGTCACAGTTGTCTATGGTCTCACCCGGGGACGTGGCGTTGCCCTCGGAGAGACCGGTGGGCTTCGCCTTGTGCCAGCTGAGCTGCACGGGGATGAAGGAGATGAGCACAGACAAGGTCCACGCCACGCTGATCAGAATGAAGGCCGCCTTGGGGGTCATCTTCCTCTCGTAGCGGAAGGGGCTGGAGATGGCCCAGTACCTGTCCACGCTGATCACGCAGAGGTTGAGGATGGACGCCGTGGAGCACATGATGTCAAAGGCCACCCAGATGTTACAGAAGGACCCAAAGGGCCAGAAGCCGGCGATCTCGGCCACCGCTTTCCAGGGCATGACCAGGACGGCCACCAGGAGGTCCGATACGGCCAGGGAGATGACGAAGAAGTTGGTCACCTTGGACCGCAGGTGCCGGAACCTGATGACGGCGGCACAGACCAGCGTGTTCCCCAGGAGGGTGGACAGGATGAGCAGCGACAGGAAGCAGGCGGTGAGGACGCGGAAGGAGAAGTCCCTCTGCACCACCAGCCCGGCCCTGTCCATGGTGGAGGCGGTGGAGGTGTTCAGAGTCCTCATCTTCCGGGGAGAGCACGGGGGGCTCTGATGTCCCCCAAGCTCCTAAGCAGGGGTCAGCGGTCAGGGGTCAGGCGGCCCCTTGCTGCCCTGGGTGCAGGACCTCACTGGCGTTCTCTGCGAGGGCTGCACCACGGAGTGGCAGGAGCCTGCCCCCGGCTCCCAAGTCACCCCCTTGGAAGGAGCCGCTTGCTCTCTACGGCTGTCTGCTGACCCCCTCGCTCCAGGTCACTGTCATTGCCACCAGCTGGCCCTTCAATTCCCATGGAAAGCGGTGGCTTTGAGCGTATCCTACGCTTTCCATCCAGAGCCTGGGGGCCTCCCCCAGCTAGTCAATTACAGTCACATTTTGGGGCTGAGGCGCAGCTGAAAATACACGCCTGGCTCCTCCGAACCCCTGGCTCCGCGCAGCTCCCCAAACGCCCTGAAAAGCAAAGAGAAAGCAAAAATGCCAAGACTTGAGCAGGTCGCACCTCTACGCTGCAAGCCCAGTCCGACTGCGCCAGCCACCTACCTCGCCTGGGGGAGGCTTGGAGAGCGCAGCTCCAGGACGCCAGGGAGATGTGCCCGGTCCGGCCCCAGTCGCAGAAATCCTGGGGGGGGGGGGGGGCGGTTAGAGCCCACGCTGCTCCTCTGCCCCAAAGGGCTAGGGATGGGTCGAGGCGGATGAGATCCGGGGGAAGGGCTCTGGGGCGCTTGGCAGCGCCTCGGGAAAGGGCATCTCCGGGATTAGTCACTTGGCAGCTTCTCCCCTTTGCTTACTTTCCGCCCCTTCCCCCAGCCAAACCCCAGGTGCCCCTTGGGCGACCTCTGGCCCCTCAGGGCAGGGCCCCGCGCTGACCCCCGGGCGCTGGCCACCACCTACCAGGAGCCACGGGAATGCGAGGCAGAGAGCCAGCCGAGTTGGCACCCAGCGGGCCGGCTGGTTCCCCAGGGCACAGCCCACCCACCGCTCCCGCCCGCGGCCCCTCCCCTGCCCTGGGGGCGGGCTTCGCTTGACAGGCAGAGTGGCGGGCAGCAGCCCCACGTGGTTCCCCAGGATGCGGGTGAGAGGAGTGAGGGGCGCTCAGGTGAGCACTGGACCGCCCCGGGTTACCCCCACCCCCAGCCTCAGGGCCCCCAGACCCTCGGACAACACGCGACAAGACCCTCAAGACGCATCTGGCTATCAGAACCCAAAGTAAACGCGCGTGGCCGGGGAGCACAGCTCGCCGACATCGGAGCCCCTTTGGGCTGAGCCCAAGCCCTTCCCCAGGACCAACGCGAGCGGGGATCCTGCCCGCTTCCCACACTCACCAACCCCCAGCGCACCCGCCCCCATCCGACCTGCGCTGCCTCCGGAGCCCCCAACCTGGGGAGACGTCCCCGCGGGCTGTACTCACCGCGCCGTCAGGGCCCAGCGCCGCGGCTCGCCTGGCCCGCGCGCTCCGTGGCGCCCCGAGTGCGCTCGCTTCACCTCCCGCCCGGGTCGCGCGCTTCCAGGGCTGCGGTCCACGCCACCAACCCCGGACTGCACCCGCGCCCTGCGCCCTCCCGACAGGAGAGCGCCCCAAGCCCAGCGCCACGCGCTCAGCGGGCCCGGGCGCCCTCTGCCGGCCGCTGCGGCTTGCCGAACCCCACTTGGCCCTGCCAGGACAGGCCTCCCTCAGGGGCTCCAGCATCCACCGGGGACCCACTCCGCCCTGTCCCTGATGCCGGAACCTGCACAAGGGGACTCCTCTGCTCAAAACACCTTAACAACAGACGAGGGTGAAAGTTCCTGTTGCTGGCACTGCCTTCATTGAACCTATATATTTCCCCGACCCCTCAGGACCTTCCAGGAGCAGGGGTGACGGGGTGAGAGGCTGCCAGGCTCTCGGAGACCAGAGAAAGTGGCACTAACAGAGCAGCCTTCGTGCCCGGGCACACGCCTTCTGCCATTCGCCCCTTAACACAGCCCCTCGGCCCAGCAGAAAGGTTCACAGGTGCCGGCTGCCCCCGCCGCCTGCGTGTGCTTCCCACTGACCTGCCTACCTGGGGCTGCAGCTCTAGCAGAAGTCAGAGACCTAAGTAATGACCCTGGGCTGAGACGGAGGGAAGGGCAAGGGGGGGCACGGAGGCCTGGCGGACAAGGGTGCCCCTGCGCCCTCCCCAGCTGCCCTGGGCAATGCCTGGAAGGTCAGACGGGCACTAAATGACCCCATCCCCGTGGCTTTCTGTGCCTTCCTGGGGTGGGAGGAAGCACGGGGTTTCCTTGTCTCCACCCTCCGCTGCCCGTGCCCTCTCTCCTCTCCCAGCGGGGTCTCCTCTGTAGAGCAGAGACAACGTGACAGGGCTGTGATGAGTATTCAGTGGGATGGTGCTTGCGGAGGGCTCGGCACCGAGAGAGGCCTGGCCAGCCCTCCTGGCAGGAACCCGGGGCCCTGCAGACACGCAGCTTCACCTCTGTGAGAACCCTGCACCCCCAAATGAGGCTTCTGCCCATGACCCACTCCCAACTGCACGCAGGCTCAACGGAAGGGCTGCAGGACTGACACTGACCTCCTGTGCCTCTCCCAGCTCTGGCCTCGCCGTCACTCCGTGACACCGCGGGCCCTGAGTCCTGGTCGCAGACACAATTTTTGCCTAAAGAACCACATTCTGGTAGAGCCATAAGCCAGGCTCAGCGGCACACTCCCAGAGCCTCGACGTCGCTTTCTCTTTCTCTCCCTTTGACTAACCAGCATGGATCTCTCACGCTCTGGCCCCAGTCACGTGGGCCTGAACGTTGATCTCCCACCTTCTACCTGCGGCACCTGAACTATTAGCACTGCGCCCCCCACAAACGCACAGGGAGGGGCAGTCAGCAGTAATGGGGAGGCAGAAAGGGTGAGAAGAAACCCCCAGAGAACACGCTGCCGAGAGTGAGATACAGGGGCCGGGGGTCAGGAGGAGGCCAGTCTGGAGGGTAAAACATCTGTCTAGTGACAGCTGTGACAAGTGCCCTCAGAGTGCCCCCGGAGCCATAACCCTGGCAATGCCCACCGCCCCTCAGATTAAACAAGGACGCCGACCACAGGCAGAGCCCGGTCAGGGGCCCGTCTACATAAAGCCCAGTGGCCACTGGTCTGGTCTCAGGTGCCATCACATTCAATGAAACACCAGCTGAACAGCCTAGATGTCTTTGACATGAAATTTAAATATGAAGCAAAACCTTGTTGGGAACAAAAGACACTCACAGTGTATGTCTTCGTATCTTCGTTTCTCTCCAGCTCAGCAGCTGCCGCAAAGGAGTCTCTCTTCCTTGGCTTGAAAATTCCCCTAAGTTCTCCCCAAACTAACCCTCACCGACCCTGTCTTCTCTCAGCTCGTGCACCTGACAGGCACAGGCCATCAGATCGACACACGTCACTCGTCCGGTGCTCGAGAGGTAGCTCGCGCTCACGAGGGAATTTCTGCCCTTTTCGTCTTTACTCAGAGCTCACAGAGGCCCGGACCCAGGAGGGAGCCCTGGGAGCACCTAAGGGGGCTGCTTCCTGTAACCAGGAAAACCAGCACATGGGACAACCTCTCACGATGCTAAGACAGACACTTGTGCGCCCCCTCGGTCAGACTGAGGTCACTGAGTTTTGAACATTGTTGCCGAGGGAACGGGGAAGGGTACAATGTCGCTTAAATCCCCGCGGTTTGTCACTTTGCACAGAGTGACTTTCAGACGGCCTTACAGTGTGGCTAGAGGTTTGGGTTTCTTCCTGTTTTTTTGTTTGGTTGTTTGGTTCTTCCTCTGGAAGCCATGCGAACAGAAGGCCTTGGTTTTGTTCTGTAAAAATCACCACCCCCCCTCCAAACATAAGGAATGTGAATATAAACGCAAGCAGGTATTAGAATTAGATGCTGCTGGAGTGTAAATCCCAACACAAAAGCGCCTTTGTCTCCCAAATTGGCACGTCTTTAAGCTGCCCTGTGATGTTCCGCACTGCAGGGAGGGAAGTTAAAATGATGCTTTTCAACAAATGTTTATTTGAGCTTGTAAAATAAATGAATACAGAAGGCGGGCTCCATGGGGTGGGGTGGGGGGAGCTTAATCTCATAATAAATAAAGCAACTGCACTGTCGAGTATGACAGATGCCTTTTATTTGGGAGGTTTAGCATTATTAAAGCTGATTTTACACCAAAAACAACAGCTTGTAATGTCCGAGAAAAGAGAGAGAGCTTGGCTGACCTTGACTAAGGAACTAGGATGATGATGTCTTAGACCATAAATACAGCTTCTCTGACACCCCCTCTCCCAGGCCATCCTTCCTTCTCCCACCGTTAATATGCAATTCAATCATCAACACCATTAAACATGTAAAGATCAACACAGAGCAGGGAATCGAACCCGCCACCTTCCTGTGTACAGACAGCGCTCCAACCTACCGAGCCACCCAGCCAGGGCCGAGGCATGTCTTCTATTGTTGCATCTGATCTTGGTTCTTCTCCCTTTTCCTCTTTTTCTGTCTTCTCTAGGTTTGACTGCGTTGTTTTTAAGATTCCATTCTCTCTCCTTTATTGCCTTATTTTACATTATTTTGTGTTTTGTTATTTTCATGGTTGCTGTGGGGTTCACATCATACATTTGCGAAGACATATAATACAGATACACTGTATATATCTTATATGATGGATAGATATATGATATGTTATATATCAATTTAAGATACAGACATGTCCTATACCTACATCTTATACATCTTCTTCTCGGCCCATCTCAAGGGCTATCATATATCATTTCCTGAAGTGTTAGGGACCCTACAATGCTATTTCTCTGCGTCTTCCCTCCCGATCTTTACGCTGTTGTCATACAGTTCACTTCGACACATGACATAAACCCCACACTACATTGTGATAACTTTTCTTTAAACAGTCAATTATCCTGTAAAAAGATTTAAATAGTGAGAAGAAATACTAAATACCTACCCATTGGCCAGTACTTTCCTGGGTGCAGGGAATATAACCCTGAACAGAGCCGACCCGCCTGTCCTTACAGAGCTTATATCCAGTGCTAGCTGAGAAATACCTTTCACACAGCACAAGCACAATACAGGGGCGCCAGGAGTTTTAACTTTGTTGGGAAGAAAGAAAGAGAAAGAGAGAGAGAGAGAGAGAGAGAGAGAGAGAGAGAGCTCACTAGCAAACTCATAACCAAGCTAAGCTAAGCGAGGGGCTGGTTCTCACAGTGCTTCGCCTGCGGAGCTACAGCGTCGGCCTAAGTGCCTCAGCAAGTCCCCTGTGAGCCTTTTGCAGAAAGCACGCCGCCCGGGGAGGGCTTTGCCGAGAAAAGGCTGGAGCAGTCTCTCAGGCTGTAAGTCCATGTTCTGTAGAAACAACGCTGCTCCTTTGTCTGCTGGGCCCATGAGACAAATATTATTGGAGGCACCAGAGAGTTTCCTTCAATTCACAGAAAGACCCATGAG